TGAACCATTTATTTTCATCATAGAAAGTACATGTGCATTTTAGGACATTGAAAAATTAGAAAATACAGTACACATGTTTTATTTAGAAATAGAAAGATAGCAGAAGAAACATCTAGAGGAGCTGAAAGGGATTGCCTCTGAGGAAACAGACAGACACTGTGATCCTTTCTGACTTTTAAACTAGGCTATGTAGTCTTTGGTTGGACAGACAGACAGACGCTGTGGTCCTTTCTGACTTTTAAACTAGGCTATGTAGTCTCTGGTTGAAAGATACTTAAAGGAAGAAGAAGTAGAGTTGAAAGTGAACTTATATTTTGACTTAAGGATGAAGGCAAATTTAAGTATAGACTTCCGCTTTTTGACATTTAAAAGAATTGCCCATATCCTTTAGTCACAAGATACGCGCACTTTCAGCTCTGTGTTCTTCCTAAACATACCTTTCAATCGAAGAATACATAACCCTAGTTTAAAATTTAGTCAAATAGGATGACCGTATCTGTCGGGGGAAAAAATCCATAGTTTTAAAAGGTAAACAAAAAGGGAAAAAAGCAAGCAACTGAGAAGAGAATAGAAAATCCTGTAGTGTACCAAGAAGCAGCGGGCTCCTAAAGGAGCAGTGCTCAGCCGCTGCCGAGGCCAAGTAGACGGAGAAGTCCGTTGGATTTTGTCCATTTGCGCCACCGGGGACCGGGGCTCTTCCGTACTGTAGGCGGTTCTCACCCTGAGGTGATTCACCCCACCCCCACACATTTGATAATGTCTGGAGACAGCCCCAATTACCCAGAGTGGAATATGACTCAACCCGAAAGAGAAATCAACGTATGTTGCAACATGGATGAACCTTGCTGAGTGAAATAACTCACCCACAAAAGGACAAGTACTGTGTTACCTCAAGTACTTAAAATGACAAGAATAGACAAGAGTATAGAGACCAAAGTGTGTCAGTGGCTGGGTGGGAGGAAAGGGGAAAGAGGAAGTCGTCATTTATGGAGCAATGAGTTACTGTTTACAGTGATGGGAAACCTAACATGGATCAAGGGTAATGGTTGCTCAGCCCATTAGTCAACTGTCCCTCACCGCCATTGAGTTGCTTCCAACTCTGAGTGACCCTGTAGGACTGGGGAGAACTGCCACTGTGGGTTTCTGACACAGTAACTCTTTACAGGAGTAGAAAGCCACGTCTGTTTCCAGCAGACCTTGTGATTAGCAGCCCAATGCCTACATAACCCACTGCCCCACCAGGACTCCTGACATAGTACCTGACACGTAGTAGATATTTAATGAAGACTGCTGCTTTTGATACTACCACCTGATGTTCATTAAGAATTAAGTTCATCAATATGTGTTCACTAAGTGCTAGTCACTATATCCCAACCCACTCATCAATTCCAACTCACAGTGACTCTGTGAGTCAGAGTGGAACTCTGCCTGTAGGATAAGGTTTTAACATTGGTAAAGCGGGACAAAAGCGGGACACCATTGATAAAACTCATATCCTGGCGAAATAGCCACATGGCAGCCAAAAACCATATACCCTAGCTTGCTGTGCATTCTTTTCAAAAATCGGGACTTTTTAAAAATGCCGCGGGACGTGGGACAAATTGTTAAAAAGCGGGACGTCTGGTCACCTTACTGTAGATTCCAAGCCTGTCAATCGTTACCAGAGTAGGCAACCTGTCTTCCTCCCACAGAGTGGCTGGTGGTGTGAACTGTTGACCGTGAGGTTAGCAAGCCCACAAGTAGCCCAGTCAGTATAGGAGATGCAAAAATACATCTACTTTGCCTTTAAGGAGTTTATGCTTTAAGGGAAAATATTTCTAATTTCATTAGTTTATAAAATATTTGTAAATTAGGTGTCTGTTTTATTTCTTTCTATATTCCTCAGAACTAATATCACTGCCATCGAGTCAATGCTAACTCGTAGCAACCCTTTGTGGGTTTCCAAGACTGTTTAAGGGAGTAGAAAGTCCAGTTTTCCTCCCAAGTTATTGCTGATGTTTTTGAACTGATGACCATGCAGATAACAGTCCAACACTTAACCAGTACACCACCAGGGCTCCACCAGAACTAATACTGCCATAATTCTAAGTATGTACTGTTCTGTTTAATGGAAGAAGGCAGATTTATGAATCAGCCCTTCACAAAAACACCATCTAACACTTAGCTCATAGAATTATATATAGTTAATTGTTTACCTTTTTGCTCCCTGCTGGAATATAAGCACTGAAAGAGTAGAGACTGTTTTAGTTTAACTATCTGTTTATCATCCAGCACCATGTCTGACAAATAATAGTGTCCAATGAGTGTTTGTTGGATAAATGAATGAGCTCACAATCAGTGTGAGTAGTGTTTTTGAACACCAGCTGTTGGCATCCCTGAGGAAAGGGAATATAATTTGGAAATATTTATCAGATAATCTTCTGTTTAATGTAAGTCTTTTGGCATACAAATTTTCATCTATGTTTAAAAACTTAAGGAAACTTTCACCAAGAAAAGAATGAACTGAGCTGAAATGTCTTCTTTGTTTTTCTTATAGCTGCAGTGCTGAATTTTCCCAGGGCCACTACTGGAATGGGCTGGGCTCTCCTCCAGATTCCCCATCTCCTGGGAGTGACGCGTATTGCAGCAGTGAGCCGAATGACCCTCAGTATGACCAGAGCCTCTTAGAGAACTTATTTTACATAGCACCTGTAAGTTACTGAATCTGAAATTTTGTAGATTAAAGGCAAGAGTGTTAATATTAGTAGCTGCAGGCACGTTCACCAACTGCCAAATAGAATGCTATGCACTTTACATACCTTAATTTGCCTCGGAGGAAATATAGCCAGAATGCTTCTTAAAAACCAGAATGGCAGGATTTTGTCTCATGTACTTTGGATATGTCCTCAGCGGGGATCAGTCCCTGTAGAATATAATTCTTGGTAAACTAGAGGGTCGGCGCTAAAGAGGAAGCCCCTCAGTGAGATGGATTGACACCATGTTTGCAGCAGTGGGCTCAAACATGACAGTTGTGAAGATAGTGCAGGATCAAGCGGGTTTCTTTTTATTGTGCACAGGGTCGCTGCGAGTCAGAACTGACGCGATAGCGCACAAAAGCAACAAGCCTGAGACCTGGGTTAATGGTACTGAGTGCTCAGGAAATACTTAAATGAATGCATAAATGGTACTATGAGTGGTATTTAAACCTTATTTTTTTTTTTTTTTTTTTTTTTTATGAGGATTGAATCAGTTGACCACAGGGAATGGAAAAACTAAAGGAATGGAATTATGTCTTTTCCCAGAGTCAGCATTTGATGTTCTTAATATTGAATAATATCCAAAACTTAGAAATTCATCACTGTTAGTATGTAGTTTGGGTTTTTGACATCTTCAGCTTTTTGGAAAACCTGTTGTTTACCCTAATTTCTTTCTTTTTAAAAAATCATTTTATTAGGGGCACATACAACTCTTACAATCCATACATACATCAATTGTGTAAAGCACATTTGTACATTTGTTGCCACCATCATTCTCAAAACATTTGCTTTCTACTTGAGCCCTTGGTGTCAGCTCCTCATTTGTCCCCCTCCCTCCCTGCTCCCGACTCCCTCATGAACCCTTGATATTTTATAAGTTATTATTATTTTGTCATATCTTACACTGTCCGACATCTCCCTTCACCCACTTTTCTGTTGTCCGTCCCCCAGGGAGGGGGTTATATGTAGGTCCTTGTAATCGGTTCCCCCTTTCTACCCCACCCTCCCTGTATCACCACTCTCACCACTGGTCCTGAAGGGATCATCTGTCCTGGATTCCCTGTTTCCAGTTCCTGTCTGTACCAGTGTGTAACCTCCTCTGGTCTAGCCAGATTTTTAAAGTAGAATTGGGAACTTGAGAGTGGGGTGGAGGAAGCATTTAGGAACTAGAGGAAAGTTGTATGTTTTATTGTTGCTACACTGCCCCCTGACTGACTGGTCTCTTCCCCGTGACCCTTCTGTTAGGGAATGTCCAGTTGCCTGCAGAAGGGTCTTGGGTCCCCAATCTGTACTCCCCATCATTTCACATTAATTTGATTTTTTTGTTCTTTGATGCCTGATAACTGATCCGTTCGACACCTCGTGATCACACAGGCTGGTGTGCTTCTTCCATGTGGGCTTTGTTGCTTCTGAGCTACATGGCCACTTGTTTACCTTCAAGTCTTTAGACCCCAGACTCTATATCTTTTGATAGCTGGGCACCATCAGCTTTCTTCACCATATTTGCTTATGCACCCGCTTTGTCTTCAGCGATTGTGTCAGGAAAGTGAGTATCATGGAATGCCAGTTTAATAAAACAAAGTGTTCTTACATTGAGGGAGTACTTGAGTGGGGCCCAATGCCCATCTGCTATCTTAATACTAAACCTATAAGTATATGCATATAGATGTATTTCCTCATCCTCATAAGTATATTTACCTATACATATGGCTTTATATTTAGACCTCTATAAATGCCCTTTGCCTCCTTCTTTCCTCTATTTCCGTTTACTTTCCCCTTGTCCCACTATCATGCTCAGCCTTCGTTTGGGTTTCAGTAATTCCTCTCGGTTACATTCCCTTGATCAAGCCCTACCAGGCCTCCTACACCCTCCTCACCATCGATTTTGGATCACTTGTTCCCTTGTCCCTGGGTTTGTTAATACCACTTCCGTTCCTCCCACCTCCCCCTCTCCCATGTCCCCCCAGAACCGTTGGTCCCGTTGTTTCCTCCTCTAGATTGATCATCTAGCCTATTTTATGTAGACAGACCAGAAGGACCTTTGTATTGAGTTTACTTCATGACTGTTACTCTGCCCCTTTATCACCGGCATATACATTACACAAGGGTGAGTCAAGCAGTGTTGCTATTAGGCTTTCAGTGAATACATGGATGGATTTATATGAAGCGTTTTGTTCAGACGTATCTCTGATCAGTGGAGGGCCCCAGAAAAAAACTCAGTAATACACTTCTTAGTTGTGTACCTAGCATCCAATCAAAACTGTGACTTCCCAGGGAATTTGTTGTGCTAGTTAAGTTCAAGGCAGAGAGATCAGTTCAGAAGTTGTCACAACTGTTTTGGGGGATCCAAAAGGGGTAATATTGATAGATTTTCTTAAAGGACACAGGTGGATCATAGGGGCTTGTTAAGATGAAATTTAAAGAAAATTGAAAAATGCACTGGTGGGAAAAAGGAGCGAAAAGTTGTTCCCAGGATTTTCTTTCCCACCATAACAACGTATCTGCTCATTCTTCGAGGGTAGCAAGGGCATTTATTTGGAAACCTTACTTATCACCCTGGAACCGTGATCTTTGCCCTAGACTCTTTTTGTTCTCCCAACTCAAAAGAATATGTAAAAGGCACATGATTTGAGTCCCTTGGGGATGCCGACACTGTGCTTTGACCTGGTACACATTGACGAGCTCAGGCTTCTCTGGAGACATCGCCTTCAAGAGTGTCTGGACCCAGCTGGAGGAGCTGTCAAAAAATAATAGCTTCACGTTTTGGTATTTTTGTTTAATAAAGGCTCTGTGATTTTATAGCAATACTTTTTACCCATCTTACACCTTAAAATACTGATAAAAGTTGGATGTCATCAACTTAAAATGACTTTGAATTGGTTTCCTTATGTTGGTAAGCTTTATGCTCTTTTTTTAAAAAATTTGGAGCCAGATAACTATAACCGTGTCTTTTTATTCTGCATTTTGTGCAATTCGTGACCAATCATCCATTGTAATAGCTATCTTTTCCCAAAATAAATGAAGTACAATGGGCTTATTAACCATTTGTTTCCTCACTAAGGAAATTTGAGAAATGAAATAAGCATTCATTTTAGTAAGGTGAAAAGTGGAATAATTAGTAGTGGTGTAAATTGGGAAAAAGAAGTGCCTTGTTTACATCTACACAATCATGAGTTAAGTGACATTGTACCAGTTTGACCTCAAACTGGTAAAAATACAGGCACTGGAACTTAGATTAAAATCTGGATCACGACTTACAGATCTGGTCATAAACTGCCTAACTTCTCTGATCCTCGGTGCTCTCACGTGTGAAAATTGAGATAAGAGCATCTTGAGGGAATGCAGTGAATGTTTAAAATACACGTGTAGTCAAGGGGGCCACACTGAAAGTCTAAAGGCATAACTGGAGGGTGTGGGGAGGTGGGGAGAGGCACTAGAACGCTCCATCCCTGACAGTGGGAAAGCAATGTGGTCTTATAGGATGCTCACCTTTCAGACACAATAGATGAAGACTAAAAGGGCGTATGTGTTGTTAAACAAGCGGGACTCGGAATAGGTAAACCTGAAAGAAATGGGGTCAGGACAGATGGTTTATAAACATGTCCTTCTATATATTCCACAGAGATATTCATCTGTTCTATGTCATGATCCCTGTTAGACTTGTGACTATCTGTATGTTTGTGTGTTATCTTTTGTTTTGTTTTTGGTGTTTACCTATACAAGATATGCAGGACAGGCATTCTTACAGAGACAGTGACTGGACTGATGGGTCCAGGGGAGAGGAGGGGAGCTGGGAGCCAACAATGATGGGTACAGGGGAATAGGCAGTGTTCTAAAATTGATGGCAAGGAGAGTGTCGCTTTTCTGATCATGTGTTTTCAGTAGATTTGTATCAGGAATTGCTGAAAGAATGATGGGTAAACATAATAGTGGGGTAAGAGAAAAAATATGTGTGTGTGTACTCGATATATATATATATATATATACACACACACTCACAACAAGGAAGCAGATGGACTTTGGGCTTCTACTTAAATCTTGCCTCAGGACAAGAATGGTTTGTTCTAACAATGTGACATTAGAGGATACCTTTTCTGACACAATCGCTGAAGACAAGTGGGTGCATAAGCAAACATGGTGAAGAAACCTGATGGTCCCTGGATATCAATAGATATAGCCCTAGGGTTTTAAAGGCTTGTAATTAAACAAGTAGCCATCTTTCAGGAAAGCAACAAAGCCCACATGGAAGAAGCACAGCAGCCTGTGTGATCACGAGGTGTCAACGGGACTCTTCCCGTATCAGAAGTCCAGAAACGCACAACCAAATTGATGTGAAGGGGCATGTATGTAATGGAGACCCAAAGCCCATCCACAAGATAATTGGGCATTCCCTCTCAGAAGGGCCACACAGAATGCATGATAAAGTCAGGGAGCGCTGTGGCACTGATGAGCCACATAGCTGTCCACTAGTTCATAAATATTCCCTCCCTTAGTACCAAGGTTTTTACTTGTTTTACTTCATCAATCAAGTTAGATTTGCAGGTGTTCATTTGTATGTTTAAGATTATGTGGTACATGAAAGTCAAGATAGATAACCCTTCAGAAATAGTTACAGGAGTAATGGTTCACTCAGGGTAGAGAAGGGGGAAGGGGAGATGGGGAGCAGATTGCAATGATGATTATATAACCTCACTCGAACAACAGAATTGAATGTAAATGGATATATTGGATTGTGTAAGATATGTGAATAAAACTCTTCATAAAAAAATAAATAAAATTTATGTGTGAAATGCAGATAATAATAATAACCTACAAGGATGGTTGTAAGGATAAAAAGATGGATGTGAAAATACAAAAATGTTTTATAATATTTTAAATATAAAAGTAAAATGTACTTTATAAAAATTTTAAACTAAAATAGACATGCAGTTGATGAATAGTGGTTGTGATCAGTTGATCCCTGGTGGCACTGTGGTGAAAGCGCTCTGTTGCAAGCTGTGTGACAGTCAGCGTCCGTAAAGACCGACAGCCTTGGAAGCCCCATTCTGTGCCCTTCAGGTTGCTCTCAGTCAAAATCTTGATTTTGACTTGATGGCAAGGGCTCAATTTTTATTATTAGTGAGAATTTCAAAGAATTCTTCCTTCTAAGTTATTTTTGAGAACTTCTGATTATTTGATGTAAAATTCACATTAGTTTTGTAATAGAAAACAAGAGAAATGTGGAATTATCTCCTTGGTGGCCGTCCATTATCTCTTTGGCTAGGGGAATGATAGATGTGCAGAAGAGAATTTGCCTACTTTAAGAGAAATGTTTCCTTACCACTGTCAACAAAGCAATTTTCTTTTAGTGGCCTTCCTTTGTTTCTTCTCTGTAGAAATCTGATACCAGCGTTAGTGATCCCCCCAGTGAAGGTGAGGATAGTATCCCTTCCAAAAAAATGAACCAGTTAAAGGCTCCCTCCATGTCACCAAAGGCTCTGGCCTCAGACAGTCATAAGCGGAAGAAGAAGGCAGCAGACAAGAAAACCAGGTGAGGCTCTTCTACGAATGCTTTCTTAGAAGCAAAAGTCTTTTTGTAAAATGGCAAAAGAATTCCCTGTTTACTGTGTAAAACTGAAGTCTGTATCCCTTGTAGAAACATATATTTCTTTAACACCTTTTTCTTAGTGACAATAAGCCTTTAGATTAGAAAAGTTGTCTACCTTTCTTGAGCTACCTTTCATTGCAGATTAGGACCTGAGTTTTGGTGATTAAAGACATTTCTCAATCCTTGGTAACTTATTAATTAAAATACCTGCTTCCCTTTCTCCTCTTTCGTCTGGCACTGTGTCTTTACTCATGTCTGCATGAATTCCTTTCAGCAGTTTGCTTCAACAGCAGAGCCCCGCAGGCCCCCCAGAGGATGCCCAGACGATGACCTTAAGTGTGGATAGACTGGCCCTTCTGGGCAGAACACATTCCATCCGAATCATCATAGAAACCCTGGGAGTGCCTCAAGAGAGTCCTCAGATGACGCTCGGCAAGAAAAACTCTGCTGGGAGACCCCCTAGCCTAACGAAAAGGCGGTATGTCTTCTGTACAGCAAAGCTAAATTTGACACGTCAGGACAGGGGTGTCTGTTAATCACAATAATGTGTCCTTGTATAATACTTTATGGTTTGAAAAGTGCTTTCCCAAGCATCGGTCAAACTGTATTGAGTCCCCACTAGGTTGCACTGTACTAGGAAAAATAAAACTAAGAGCTGGGTATGTTCTGACAGCCTTATAGTTAGCAGGCAAGAGAAGCACTGAAATGGCTGTCTATAATAAAAGATTTTAGGGGTTCAAAGAGATCTTCATGGGTACACAAGGAAGGGAGACTTTATATTCTGCCTGACAGCATTGATGAAGGCTTGGAAAAAGAGAAGACATTGGATTGGGCCTTCAAAGAGATGTGAGATATACAGGGGTTGTTTGTCTTACGGGCTTTTTTAGAGCATTTGAAGTTTTACAGAAAAATTGTACAGAAAGTACCGGGAGTCTCATATGCCTGCCTCCCTTTCACAGTGTTTCTCTTACTATTCTCCATTCCTGTGGCACATTTGTTGATAAACCAGTGTTAGCACATTATTATTAGCTAGTGTCCAAACCGTGCCTTCGAGTTTGCTCTTGGTGGTATGCAGCTCCTATGGTTTTGGATAAATGTGCCTGCCACCACAGTAGTTACAGTATTGGGTCACAGCCCTGAAAATGTCCAGTACGCCACCTATTCATCCTATTTGGTCTGTTTGTTTTTGTTTTGCTTTGTTTTAATACCCATTTTCCTTTGGGTTTTTAGCACTTTCTTTGTGGAATTTCACGTTCCAGTGGGCTTTTCCAAAAGTGGATTGAAAAAGACAGCTTTGATCACCGAGATGGTTCGACTTGCCTCCAGTAAACTTGCAGATGGAAGTAAGAGATTTGTTTCTGCTCCTTAGACATTTTGACCTTTGAAGAATTTTGAACTCCTGATTACTTATTTGAAATCTAGAGTATCATAGAATCTTAGAACTAGAAATAATTTTAAGTGAACCTACTGTAGTGCATTTATAAGTGAATGAGCTGGTTCAGAGATGAGTCCTGATATAAATCACATAACTGAGAATAGAGTTAAGAACCTCTGACACTTAGATCCTGTTCTTTCAACTCTAGATGAAACTGAGGATAGTTAAGTAGCTTGGCTAAGATCGTACAACTGGTCTATGATATAACCAGAATTTGAACTTAGAATTGTTTGATGCTAAGTTGTATGCTTTTCAAGCATTGTTATTTTGGACCACAGTGGTTGAGTTCCCCACTTCTCCTCCATAGGAAGATCCTGAGGGAGTGTCCAGTAAGCATCAAGGCAGGAACTGGAAGACTAGGTTGGAGTTCTGATTATACCATACACTAGTTTGTGTGACCTTAGTCAAAATCACTTTTTCCTCTGTGAACTTTTCAACACTGAAATGGACTAAAATAACTTTTTTATATCCCTTCCCACTCTTGAAGAAGAAAAAAAAAAGCTTCTTTAGAACATCGTTAGTAATTTGTTTGCATGGATTTTCTCTTCATTGTCAACCCAGACTCAGTCTTGGTGGTTTAAAGAAAAGAGCTGAAGAAATAATTGTGTGAGAAATATGATAACATCGTACAAAAAAGTACCCAAATCACGAGGAGAATGCTGAGTAGCAGGAAGGAGTGTGCAGTTCCAGCGTGCTTTGTCACTTATTCCCTCAGTTGGTCCTCATACCAGGGAGGTGTCGGGGCCAACTTCCCTCCTCCAGATAATACAACCCGACGATCAGTGGGTGTGTGCTTTCTGGGGCCAAACCTTTTGTTCTTAGTTCCTATATGTGAAGTCAGAGAGCAAGACCATGTACTGTGTAAGAGTACCAAGATAAGTCTGCAGAGCCAGGAAAGTAGATGGCCAGAGATGACTAGGAAATCAGAGAATATAGATTCTCTCTGCAACTGGGCCTTTTATAGGGTTCTTCCGTACCAGTTTAAGAATCTAGAAATTAATGGACAGGAAGATCATTTTCAAGTGATAAATGTGGCTGAGGCATTCACTGATAGAGAACTGGGGCTTGAACTCGTAATGTTTGATTTTAGTCCCAAATTCCCTCTATGAACTGTTACAGCTCCCGTCATAATGAGCACAAGCTCAGTGAAACACAACCCTCACTTTATCCCACATAGACCTGTTGTTACAGAAAGCCCTTCCTTCCCAGTCAAGAGATGGAGCCCACCCTACTCTAACACAGAAAGCTAACACCAGTACCCGGTACCTGTGTGAATGTGATAGCAGGGCTCCCTACTCTTTAACCTAAAGATAAATGCATTATTATTATTCTGTTCGGTTATTTATATATCCCACTTTATTTCACTCCCAGCTAGACCTCTTTTGAGATTCATAGACATTATCTTTCTAGGTAAACCCTCTGGTACACTACCTACCAACTTAACTTTAAAACCAGTAATTCATAGCATTGGACATCCATTGAAGCCTGTGGTTCTGCCTCTTTGCCCATCTTTGCCCCTCAGAGCGAGGCAGAGCAGCATCCTGTGCTTCACTCCCACACCCTGCCCCTAGGGGTTCCCTCTCTGTCTGCTGTCCAATCCTATCCCTTCACACTGTCTGTGAAATCTCACTGGGCTTTGAGTTACATTTGAAAGGGAATGAGGGTGCGTGCATGGCATGGTTTGATGACGGCTCTAGACAGACGGTGTGACGTGTGGCTCTCTTCACAGCGGTAAAGTTCCAGCAGCGATGTGTGTTTCCGGTACAGTTTGGTGGGCCAATGATAGAGCACTGGTGGGATTCCAACCTCACTTTCCACATTCACTTAAAGACAAGTCCACAGAAAAAGGTACTTCAATGGATTTTGACCTCTTGCCAATGGGTTTAGAGCATACTTACTATGATGTGCCTACTTAAAGTAGGAATTTCTTCAGGCTGAAGCAACATTAATGGTTTATTTGGACGTGCTGTTTGTTCGGACCAGAGGCCATGCTGAGGCATTTCTATCTCAAGTATGGGGTATAGAGAATACAGTCTGTCAGCAAGTGACGGTAAATAGTTGTTGTGCAAAATTGATTATTTTTATCAACCGATTGTTTAGGTTATAAGAATAAAAACATTTTTCATAAGCCTAGTTGACATATTAACATACCTATCAGGCTAAAACGCCTGCTAATTTACTTTTTTAAACCCATCAACTGTCATTGTTACCCATTTACAATGATGCTTCTACACACACACACACACACTACAAGCGCACAATTGCTGCTGGTATTTTCATAGTTGATAATTTTGTGACATTTTCTGGTGTTTTAGCTGTAATTTTGTAGTAATTAGTATTTGTGAACCTATTTCTGTCACTTTTTGAGAATGAAATAATTATTAAAGGAAAAGGAGAAAAATTGTTTAAAGATAGCTGCTTCTCAACAGCAACTCAAACTACTGCCATCAAGTCAGTTCCGACTCAGTGCGATGATCATGTAGACAAGGTAGAGCTGCCCCTGCTGGTTTCTGAGACTATTAACTCTTGACCAGGGTAGAAAGCCTTGTCTTTCTCCTGCAGTGTGCTGGTGTTTTCAAACGTCTGGCTTGTGGCATAACCACTTCACCACCAGGGCTCCCTTAATAATATTGTAACCAGTGTTGTACTTCAGTGTAGAAACATGTCATGAACAACCGAAAAGTGGATGAAGGGAGATGTCGGACAGGGCAAGATATGACAAAATACCCATTTATAAACTATCAAGGGCTTATGCGGGAGGGGGGAGCGGGGAGGGAGGGGCAAAATGAGGACCTAATGTCGGGGGTTTAAATGGAGAGAAAATGTTTTGAGAAATGATGTACAAATGCGTTTTACACAATTGATGTGTGTGTGGATTGGGATAACAGTTGTATGAGCCCCTAATAAAATGTTAAAAAAAAAAAAAAAAAGAAAGAAAGAAATATGTCATGAAACAATTTTATTGTTAGTATCCAGGTGATCTAAGGAAGAATAATACATTTAAACAGTTTATAACCATGTCTGTCACATATTCCATGATTAAAATTGATAATAGACATCACTACAGATGTTTGGTGGTTTTAAGGGGGAGATCCACTGGGGAGTGACATATGGAGCATAGAGTGACGGTAATCATAATGGCACCTTTGCCACAAAGACTGGACATGAGCATGCACTCAAATGCAATCTTCACAACAGCTTTTTTTTCTTCATTTTACAGATGAGGGAGCTGAGACCTAGTGAAGCTAAGTAACTTAGCTTTGATCATCCAAGCTAGTTCAGGACACAGCCAGTGCTCCACCTCAAATCTTCTGACTTTAGGTGCCAAGCTCTTAGCCTCTTTAAATGTGCCCCCTACTGTAGTATTAAATTAGGAGGGGGGTGAGGGGCCAGCCCCCACCGCTACTACTACCCACGGGTTCAGTAATGCACAATTGTACGGTTGAGATATATATATTATATTAAAGTCATCGAGAGCATGAGAGATACAGTAATGCAGTTAGACACATTACATGGTAGCATTGCTCACCTCCGCCCTGCTTGGTGGTCCACGTGGAGGGAAGCCGGCTACGAGAGCAGGAGCAGCCTCGGGGACCGAGAACCGGGGAGCCTCTCCTAGCCCGAGAGCCAGAGAGGGCCCCAGGAATTGGGGAGAGCTTTCAGCCCCAGAGCTGGGGAGAGCCTCCGGCCCGAGGAGAGCTTCCTTTATTGTTCACCACGCATTACATCACTTTGGGGGGACATGATTACAGGTAACCACACGTCACAGGAAGGGGCAGTACAATAGGCATACACATTGTAGGAGGTTGATCTATGATAGGTATAAGCGTAACAGGAAGGGATGAGCTAGGGGTGTGCCCGTAGGAATGGGGAGGTGTAAGGGTATACATGTGACAAGATGGGCGGACCCTAGATTCATGATGGCAGTCTAATCTTGTTCATCCTTGGGCGGGTTTGACCTCTCTGGGGTCTCCTACAAGGAAACAGACAACTACTATCCTTATCAGAAGGGAGTGGGCCCTATTAGTTGTGGGATAAACAATGGTGTCTGCTTGGTCTAGACAGCTAACTCTCAGGGAGAATGACCCTTAATCTCCTGATGACCTCCAAGTGTACAGTCATTCTCAAGCAGCTAAGTCTGGCATATATTTGGAGGAGACAACTTGGGAGAAATCCTTCTGTTTCCCACATCCTACTATGAAGAGTGGACGATGTTTATATCGGAGTCTTGATAATGTAGTAGTTACCCATTGCACTGCTAACCACAATGACAGCAGTTTGAAACCACCAGCTGCCCCTTAGGAGAAAGACTTTCTACTCCTGTAAAGAGTGAGTGTCTTGGACACCCACCTGGGCAGTGCTGCCCTCTTCTGTAGGGTTGTCGCGAGTCAGAATCAACTCAGTGGCAGTGAGTGTTTGGGTTTGGTCGTCATAACTTGTAAGTCTACTTCCTGGTTGCAGGTCGAATTAGTGAGATGTCTAGCCTATATCCAAAATAATATAACGAGGGGTAACAATTCTGATCAGCCCAGTCACTCCGTGGGAGAAAGATAAGGCTTTCTACTCCCATGAAGATTATAGTTGTGGAAACCACAGCATCATTCTTCTCTGTCTGCTAGGGTTGCTGTGAGTTGGAACTGACTCCAGGGCAGTGAATTTGACTTTGGGTTTTTGTTTGTTTGCTTTTTAATTCCAAGTGTGTAAAATCCACTTGCAGCTAACAGCATAAATCAATAAACTTGGAGCATATTCATTCTTTTATTCACTGAGTAGTCTTTTATAATCTTTTAATTTCCACCTAGACGTGAATAGCATTAGGATGTTTCATTTTCATTTATGCTTTTTCAGAGTCTGTTAATAATACAAGTTCTTTAAGGAAAACATAGCAAAAGAAGAAAAGGAAACATAATTATACAACTTTAAGACTAATTCTATTAACATTTTGCTATATATTGTCATTTTCTATGCCTAATTAATGGACTTTTTCTAATTGCAAAAGAATTTATCTTTTTCTAGAAAAACAAGAATGATAAAAGGAAGCAAAATTTGTTGATAATCTCATCACCCAGAAATAAATTTTGTTAAAATTTATGCATATCTCCTGTCTTTTTCAAATGAATACAATATTACAGATCTATGTCTTTGAAAGATTTAGAATTCTTTTGTATGTAGTCTTTATCCTCATTTTTAAAATTTAACAGTATCTTGAGTGTTTTTATTCATTATTCTTCAGATATCAATGTAATCTTTTCCTCATCATTCCATAAATATTTGATAGTTTATAATCTTATGCTATTTTAAAGATTAATAATTATTTTTATTATAGAATTCATAATAAACGTCATTTCAATGGGTGTGCACTATTTCCCTTGTAGGGAGGTACAATAATTAGCTTAATCATTTTTGATTATTGGATACCTAATTCTAATTTTTTTAATTTTAATTTTTAGCTACTTATAACCAATAATGGAAAGAACATATGTAATTGTATTTAAATGTTTGATGTATTGTTCATTATTTCTTTAGCATAAATTCACAGAAGTCTGTGAGCCAAAGCATAGGAATATTTAAAGCTTTTTGTATTTATTGCCAAGTTTCATTTCTACAATATGTTAACCAGTCTATATTTTCAACTCCACACACATGGCAACTTTTGTTTCTCCATAGGCCTTATGGCATCAGATATATTTTTATAATTTTACTCACTTTAAAGGCAAAAGTTTATCTGGCCTAATTTTTATTTTTAATATTAATTTGAAGATTTTTCATTTTTAAAAAAAACTAAAAATAGCAATAATTGTTCAACCTAATTGTGCCATATGGCACCCTCTACAACCTTTAGGGAGCCGTGTGAAACCCAGAAGGGATGCCAAAATAGGGCAGACTATGGATTCCTCTTAAAGAGCCTCAGTCAGTAAATGATTTACTTCACTGAGCATTGGTTCCTCTATCTGACACCCTGTGTTCTCACTTCAGTTTAATTTCCCTGCGGCTCCTTTTTAATTTAACCTAAATGTTTTCTTTTCCTCTTCCCTCAGCCAGAAGTGATTGGATCTGCGTCACTTCCTTTGCGAGCGGTCATCCAGTCAGAGCTGCTTTCTTTCCATGACCAGCTTCCGGTGCAACAGGAAAATGGGCAGGCTCCATTTGGCCCCCTCAAGGTATGTCATAGTGATATGGTCAGAAATACTTTCTGAGTACATAGTATTGTCTGGCACTGAGACGTGATAACAAGAGATAGGAAGATCCAGGTCTCTGCCCCGAAATAGCTTATACTGAATTAGGGTAACAGAAATGATAGGAAGTTGAAGTAAATGGTGTAATGTACTAGGGATAACCAGAGAGGCAGTACCAGCTATTGGCAGTCAGGGAAGATGACATTTAACATGAGATGCACATGTTACATACACTGTTCCCTGCACCATTGTTTTTTTTTTTCTTCAGTCTGAACAAAACCCTTTATTTGAACATGTGTGTGAAGGGCAGAAGACGTTCCATGGTACTGGCATTACATGATACAAGATGTGAGGAAAATTTTTGGTGAGGAGGCTGTATGGGAAGGGAGGGAACTGCACCGATTAAGAGGTCTACGTCACTGCTGACCAAAGCATTTACTTACCATGTTCATCTAGCATTGACCACTGTATCTATAGTCTGTATTCAGAATTTTACAGATTATGCCATTACTTTGCTTTCTAGCAAAAAAAAATTTTTTTCAGTCATATGTCATCCATTGTGCTTAGTTGTCACATCTCTCTAGTCTCCTTTCATCTTGTAGCCAAAGTTGCTTAATACAGTTCGTCTAAATTACTTTGCTTAATGAGTCTCCATGGAATTTTTTACACTCATTACATTGTGTGGAGGCACTCAGGCTATATGGGGATGTCACTTGGAAAGGCCAAAGAACTGAGTCTCCTCTCCCTTATTTGCCTGTTAGTGACTTAAAAGCTAGGCCCTGCGATCTAGTCAGTCAACAGGCATCCTGAGCCTGGCCTAAGACTTAAAAGAACTTTGTTCTGTTTGCTTGCTGATGATCAGCAATAATTTCCTGTGGTTATCCTGAAACCTGCTTTAATGTAAAACACCTGTATGTGACTCACCTGGGGTGTATTTCCAAAGTAAGATGTTTATATTCTCTGTGTTTGGATTTCAAGTAGGTTGCCATCACGACAGTCTGTGTTGCTGTCTGCATCCTTACTGGTTAAACATTCTAAAAACTAAGCTCTTTTTCTCTCTGAGAGTTAGTGAATTGGCTCTGCTGTTCCAGGGTATGAACTCTTATTAGTGGTAACATTCTGAACCTTTTCTTTGCCTTTCGTGAAACTGTTACTTAAGTTCAGTTTTTTGTAGAAGGTCCCTCCGTTTAAGTTTGCTTCAGTCAAGTCTCATGCGCTGACTGGGAAGTGGTGACTGGTAACCTGCTATTGTGTTGGAGCATGAGGACATCATTCTCTAGGAGTCTAATTCTGATTGTAGGTGACACGGTTCCTAACTCTTTTTCTTTTGTGTTTTCAGGTAACCGTGGAACTTGTTATAGATCACAAAGATTTCACTGGTGTCAACACTAAGCTAAGTAGCAGCACCCAGCATACCCCATTTTGTGCTCTTACAAGTCCAGAGAAGAAACTACCAGAAACTAGCCAACATGTTACTGGGGCCCAAAATGCACCGCCTCTCAGTCAAATTCGTGAGGAAACTGCAAAGAAAGAACAGGACTTTTTGCTCCCCCACCCAGAGTCACCAAATCGTACAACCTCCATGGCTTTGCCAGCCTCCCACAATTTAGTACATCAGACCCGCGATTCAGCTAAAGAGCGTGCTTTGCTGTTGCACGTGCTGTTAATGGTGCCAGATGGGAAGGATTTCATCACTGGAGAATCAGAGAAGCAACCGCCATGCAATGTTTATTTAAATTGTAAGCTCTTCAGTACAGAGGAAGTCACCAGATCGCTCATTGCCTGGGGCACGGCACAGCCGGTCTTTAACTTTTCTCAGGTAATGTCATCCATGTCTTAGCAGTCCGTGTCCTCTAAGGATGAATGGGGTGAGACACAAATATCTTTCCCAAATGATAATGCCCCCTGAAAAGCACGCTGGTGTTCAGACTGTGAGGGACCTCAGCAGTCATCTGATATACCAGGCAGCCCCACTGTTGAATAGCAAGAGGAAAAGACACAATCAGCATTATTGAACATTTTATGCCTTTCTTTTTGTTCTGTTTCAATTGATGTGGTTTCTTGTGGTCCATTTCTTTTCCAAGTTATAGGTTTAAATTTTTCTGTTTCCAAAAGTAGGGCTTTTGTCAGTTAAATGTCCACTTTCTTTATTGTTTCTTCAGTCTCTCTCAGTGTTCCTCACTCTGATTTATTCCTCCCACTTACCTTGTCACCCACTGCCATAGAGTCTGTTCCGACTCATAGCAACCACACAGACAGATTGGAACTGCTCCTTGGGCTTTCCAGTAACAGAACTCTGTAGGAGAGCAGACAGCTTGGTCTTGGCCTGTGGCGTGGCTAGTGTGGTGGGTTGGCACTGCTGATGTGCAGTTCACAGTCCAGCTTAGCCCACAGCGCCACCAGGCTTTCTTCCAGTCACATGAGAATACGTGGTCTCCCTTTGGGGCTCTCCTGTTTTCTGTTGGTTTTATTATTGAGCTTTTCTGCTCTCTCCTATGACAGCTAGTACAGCAACTTGGGGTCTTTTTACTTCATGGACCCATTAATTTAACCAAGCTCGTCTTTGATCCAGATCGCTGCTTCTCTTTTTTATTTCAACTATTTGGCTAATTCTAATGGATGATTGGTGTTGTTATGAACCATAACACCTGTTGGGTAGAGCTCTTTGCACTAGACTAATAAAATACCATCTGGTCCACAAACTGACTGAGCTTGATGAGATATTCAATCCTAGCATCCTTTCCAAAACATCCTCCTCTGCTGGGGTTCCACAGGGGTTACTTTCCCCTAGACAGGTTGGATGAGCTTGGCCAATGGCATGTTTGCCTTGTCTGACAATCTTCTCTCTCCCCAAGTCATCAGAGAGCAGCTCATTCTGTTTTGAACTTGGCCTTCATATGTTTCTCTCTAACACCAGACTGGGTGCTCTTGAGAATACTGAGTAGACTTTATTCCAGTGTCTTCTGTTTCTTGCACACAGTAGATTTTCAGTAAATGCTTATTGACCACAAGTATAAATTAATGCACAATCTCAGTTACGGGTTTTTATTTGTTATGTTTTTTTTTTTTGGTTGTTCCTCTTCCCCAGGTGATTCCTATCTCTCTCTCTCCCAAATACCTGGAAAGGCTTAAGAACAATGTGATGATAATTGAAACTTGGAACAAGGTGCGGAGCCCAGGACAGGACAAGCTGCTCGGGCTGGTGAAACTCCCCCTCCATCAATTTTACATGTCATTCAAGTAAATTGGCTCTTTTGGAGTATTCATTATTTTGCATCTTTAACTTTCTGTGGACTGGAGAAGAATTCTTTTGGTTTGCGAGCATGACAAGCCTAGTACTAACTTGGAGAACTTTTCTCAGGTTGCTCTTTTTATACTATAATACTGCTACGATGTTGGGAGCACAATGCTTAGTACCATCCGTGCATTCTCATTTAGTCCTCACAACAGCCCTCTGAGACAGGTACTCATACCGTGTAGAAGAGTCACTGGGAGGACCCCGTCAGAGTAGGAATGGGGCCAGCTTACGTGAACAGTTCAGTCCTTATAAAGGTAACACTGAGAAAGCATGCTCAGGCTGGCGAGTACTGCCGGAATTATGGATAGTACTGTCAGCTGTAGGCTTTTGACTTTTCTCCCTGTGTTAGTTGGGATGCTAGGGGTTTTTTTCTTGTATTTTCCTTCCCTCTCATGTCATTAGACCCCATTTATTCTGAGAGAGCACTTAAACTGAACACTGAACCATGTGCTAAGCACCATTGCTTATATTTTGTATTTCTATCAGTTAGATCCTAACAACAGCCCTGGCCTGGGAGTTGTATTTTCTGCATTTTACAGATGAGGAAATAGACTCAGGCTAGATTACCCAGTTTCATTCAGCAAATAAGTGACAGAGCTAGAGTTCAACAGTTTCTTGGGGAACATTTGGACTGATATGGATTATATGAATCAGAGTTTGAATCCCAGGTCAATTTCCTACTAGTTATGTGTCTTTAACTGCGTTACTTAACTTTCTGAATTTAGCTTGTCTCAAATGTTAATAGAGGATATTTCAAATCTTTGCATTGCAGGCGGATTACATGTCAAGTGTCTACCACATAACACATAGTAGATGGCAGATACTCAGTGCCAATGGGTTTGGAGTTTTTTGGTATTGTTATCCAAATCTGAACTGCCAGACTCCAGAGCCACCTTCTTTCCATTTTGCCACATTTGTCTCCCTGAACAGTAATGGTAGTCAGTTAAGTTTCTATTGAGATACCCGGTTCAGTACCATCCCCCAGTCTTGGGGCCATCATCATAGAGAGGTCAGTTGAACCCATTCCCTCCCTGCCTTCAGATTGCTGCATCCTGAACTTGTCTGCCTGACAATTTTCATTTAATAGGTTGCTCATGGAATCATGCTTTTAAAAAACCACTGACTTTTCTAGTTGTAGATTCATTTTTAACAAAGTGAGAAAACAAGCCAAGTAGCATATAAAACTGCTCTGTGACATGATCAATGATTGTTAATTGCTCTCCTACGATTTCTCTCGCTCCAGAGATCCCCAAATTTCTCGCCTGCTCCTTGAAGCTCAGTACCCAGTTGTTGCTGTGGACAACTACATGCCTGTGATGGATGTCTTCTCGGGCCACCAAAACGGGAGTCTTCGAGTCTTTTTAGCTATGGGCTCTTCAGATCAGATAACGGCACTGCAAAGATTAAAGAATGATGAAGGAATCCTCCCTCCCTTCGGCCCTAGGCCACCTCATTTCCTGGACCAGCCACCTATAGCATCTAAAGCATCTGTTGCTATGGTAGTGACTAAGCACTGATTACTCACAGAAACAGTAGCTTACATTTTTCAGTAAAACCACTGCCCGAATCCCTATGTCAGTAATAACAGGATGAGTAAAAAAATGTAACTGGCACGCCAAGACTTACGTAAAATCAAATGAATCATTAGTATTTTCATGTTAATGATTTAAATGGATCTTTTCAAACTTACACAGAAAATCTAGTTGGAAAAAAAAAGAAAAGAAAATCTAATTGGGTGGACAAATCTTAATCCTATAATTTACTTAATTTCCTTTTTACAATTGAGAGTGGTGTGGAAGTTGTAAATATGAGCCAGCAAGATATTAACCTTCATTGCCCAGCAAAGGCCATGTTGGATTTATTAGTGAGGTTCCTTGCTTTTCTGCCATAACTTAAAAAATATTATTTATACAGTGCCTTACATTTGAGAAGCACATTGACCTGCTTTATCCTTATAGTTTTTTTCCCTAACAACTCAGAGGTGAGGTGTACTAAGAGCATTCAGAGGAGCCCTGGGGGCATGGTTTGCCATACACTGAGCTGCTGCCAACCACAGCGTCTGCAGTTCAAATTCACCAGACAGTCTGCAGGAGAAAGATGAGGCTGTCTCCTCCTGTCAAGATCTCAAGTCTTGAGACCTAACGAGGCAGCTCTACCCTGTCCTTTTAAGGTTGCTTTGAGTCAGAATTGCCTCAGTGGCAGTCAGCTTTGGTTTTTGAGGTTTTTAAGAGCTTTTTTGTTGGGAACAAATGTTGGATTTTATCAAATACCTCCTCAGCCTTTATTGAGATCATCGTATTTTTTTTCCTTTGTTCCATAACATGCTGAATTGCATTCATGCATTTGCTAATGATTCGTTCTCACAGTCTTGAGTAAGCCTTATGTGTTTCAATAACATCACTTAAACAGTTGTGAGATCTATTTTTTTTAAAGACAACACTGCCATTGAATCGATTCTGACCCATAGTGAACCTGTATGACAGAGTAGAACTCCATAGGTTTCTACTTTAGGGGAGCAGACAGCTTCTTCTTCCTCCTATAGAACAACTGGGGTGTTTGAACCACCAGCCTTGTGGTTAGCTCAATACCTACTCCACTGTGCTACCAGGACTCCTCTATGAGATCTTTTCCCATTGAAAATGTAGTACCTGTTTTATTATCAGCGGATGGCACACATGCGTGGGTCACGGCTCACCACCAGCCTCTCTGAGGGCGGGGGCTCTCTGCTCCAGTAGAGAGTTAGAGCCTTGGAAACTCATAGGAGCAGGTCTACCCTGTCCTATAGGGTCAGTATGAGTCCCTTTCGACTCGATGGCCTCACAGAAAACTAGGACTATTCTAAGCAAGTTAGCTTAAAGCCCACTAAATGCTCTGTTTCCTTTCATAGGTGGAGGGCCAAGGAAGTGGATTGATGGAGCACCACTTTGAGTTCCACATGGAGAAGGTTAAAGGATTGGCCCCCCTGCAGGCAACAGTCTGGGGAGAAGCAGATTGTTACATCCAGTACTACTTTCCAGCGCAGGATTCGAAACCCAGCGTGCTGGAGGGACCTGAGATCCTTGAAAACGGTAAGTTTGGGAGAGTATGTCCTCATACGTACGCTTAGGGATTTTCTCCTGTGTGAATTTTGTCTTGTTTTTAACGTTATCTGGACAATAAAATAAAATAGGAGATGGGCTAATTTCTTTACTTTTATTTTTAAATACAGTTTCTGTAGCTCTTTATTTTGATATAATAGCAAATTTACAAAAGAATTGAGAGAATAATACAAGAATTTCTGTACACCCTATGCCCAGATCTACCAATTATTTACATGTTATTCCACCTCATATCATTCACATGGCTACTCATTATTTTTCTGTAATATATTAACTTTTTCCTGAGCCTGAACTATTGTAATCATGAGGTCACTTTATATCAAGCTGAGGTCTCCACCATTGTTAGAATCTTGTCTCTGTGTAGGTGCCTGTCCTACATAGTACAGTGAGGAGCCCAGGGGCCACTGCTGGACTGCTCACTGCATTTCACACCGAAAGATGAGGCTGCCTGCTCTCTCGAGGACTTACAGCCTTGGAAACCCTGCATAGGGTCCCTGTGAGTCAGAATGCAGTGGGTTTGGTTTGGGGGGTTTAGATAGTACAGTTGGCCCTCAAATAACAAGTTTGAACTGCCTGGACCCAGTTAAATTCAGATTTTTTTAATTGAAAAAAACAACCATCAATGTTGAGCAGTTTATCTCCAGTAAGTTGCGTATCACACTAAAAAGTCATCTCTTAAACGTCCATATCTGTTTTTCACTGTGTTTAATGCAGTACTCTAAGCCTTGAGTAGCATGAGACCCATACAAAGTGCTCTCAAGAAGCAGAAAGAAGAAATGGCAGTGCAGGCAGTAGTTGAATGGCTTGATAGGCACTGTAGATTGAGGTCTGCAGCTGTGGCTGGCCACCGTTTTAAACTAAATGAAACTGGCTTCAAAGACCAGTATAAAAAAGGAAAAGAAATTCATGAAAGTTCATGTAGTTGCTGCTACACCAAGCAGGCATGAAAACCTTGCACTTCTTGCAAAATTCTTTTTCTATCCCATATTAAAAATGCAGCTTTTATGTGGGTGCAGTGTGTGTGTGTGTGTTTGTGTATACAGACACATAACAATATGTGTTAATTGACTTATCTGTAGGCTTCAGGTTAGGAGGAGACTATTAATAGTTAAATATGGGAGGAGTTAAAAGTTATATGTAGATTTTCAGCTGTGTGAGGGGGGACTTTAACCCCCCCTGTTAAGGTCACCATATCTACTGACTGGTGTGTTTCAAGGGACGTACACAAGGTGAAGTGGGAGGTCCAAAGTTCATAGTTCAGACAGTAAGCCGGAGCGGGAATGAGAAGAGTACAAGGGTAGAAGAAAGAGAAAGAGCAGTCTCTGCTAGAAGATCCATTTCCCTTCTAGAAGCAGACCATGGAAAAACCCTGTTAACTGATTGGTTGATCCCATCAGATCCCATCATGGAGATGAAGACAGTATGGACCACAAAGCAGCCAATCCTCTAGCTAGCCAAACCACTACAAATCCCAGAAATACCTCTCATCTTGCCCTTCACAGTGCTGAAAGGGACTTCTCTTTACTGGTGAGCCAAGTCCATGATGGTCTGCCCACAAGCAGATGGCTTCGCATGCTATTTGAACCTCCTCAAATGTTCTCTTCGTTTAGCCGAGTTCAATTGTCCTTCAAACTTAGAGGCAGAAGCACAAACCAGAGATTCACTTTTCTCCTGTTTAACAGATGAGACACCCCTGTTATCACCACTGTAGTTATTTATCCTATCACTATAATTGTTTAGTTTTCTATTTCTCACTTTTGATTTTAAGATCCTTAAACATAAGATGCTAATATACCCTTAGCAAATAATGGATGAAAGGATAGCTAGGTAGATAGATTAAATTACATTTTCCATACATACCTGAATTACCCTGTGGTAGAATAACTCTCTTTACACAGAGATTGGGTGTGCTCCTTCTTACCTAGGTATTTCAGCCTGGTGTGATAGAAAAGCTTATAAAGGAAAAATTGAATCGCAGGATTTAAATTCCACTTCCACCTAATTCGGTGATCTTGGGCACATTGAATCTCTCCCAGCCAATTTCCAAATCTGTTAAATAGAAGTGGGGCAGGATCAGGAGACACCCTACATCACAGATTTTTTTTTATGAGAAATACATTAGCTTTAAAAGTGTTCTAGAAGCTATAAAATAGTACTGTATGAGTATCTATTACTACTATTATTATAATTACCTGGTGGCATAGTGGATACTAACTGCAAACTTAGTAATTTGAAACCACTCTACAGGATAAAGCTGAGACTTCCTGCTCCTATAAAGAGTGACAGTCTCAGAAACCCACAGGGACAGCCCTACCCTGTGCGATAGGGTCTCTATCAGTCAGAATTGACTCAATACAGCGAGAGAGAGAGAGAGAGAGAGAGAGAGAATTTCCTTGGCAGGGGTAAGAATTCACATTCTTAACTACTTTATTCTTGTTACTTGCCCCATGTTGAGAATTATTGGGTTAGGTGATGCTAAGAAGGCACAAGCAACCAAAGGAAAATTTAGACTTCATTAAGTTAATTTTTTTTTTTAACATTCTTAATACGAGAATATTTTTGTACAATTAAATGTTGAAATCCATAACACCTGAATTTTTAATTTCAGGAAAATTTTTTTTTGTTTTTATTCTTTACTTTCATAGTTACCAGTATATATTTTAATATATACATTTAATTAAATGTTACGAAAATGTCATGCTCGGAATTATAGGGTTAAGATGAACTTGGTGCTGCAACAGCTGCCCTCTTGGGTTTAGGAGTTGTTCCTTTGCGGACTCCATGCCTGAATCTGCGGTAGACAATGTTTAGGTGCCTCATTCAACCAGTACCGGTGGTACTTTGTCTTTTAGCCTTGGCTCTCCAGTTATACTTTCTCTTGCGCGTGACTGGGGCATCACATTTGCCACAGGTTGACTTCTGGAGATGGCAGCCCTTGGAGCCACAGCAGCGGTACAAGGTGTGTGTGTCTTATTGCGAGGCTTTCCGAAGGATGACGTTCCCTTCGTCGTCTCACTTCTGCAGCCAAGACCAAGGAGCGTAGTTAAAAGTTAACACATCACAGCACACACTTAAAGAAATGAAAACTCCTGGTAATGATGAGTACAAGATTGAAGGAGATGTTCTCAAACCGACTGTGGTGGTGATTGTACAATGCTTCTTGATGTGATTGAACTCTTGAATTGTATGATATATGAATTACACAGACTGCTGGCGGGAGTGTCAAAACTCAACATCCAGCATAAGAAAAAATATTCTCAAATTATATCTCTGAAATCCAGGGAGTCTAGTATCCAGAATATATCAACTTAGAACTCAACAATAAAATTACAACTAGACCAGTTAAGAAGTAAGCCAAGAACATCCTCTCACAGAGGGGTCACAAGGCAGAGACGAGCCAGTCAGGGTGCAGTAGAGCACCAATGAAGCACACAACTTTCCTCTAGTTCTTTAATGCTTCCTCCCCCCACTATCAGTTCTACCTTACAAATCGGATTAGACCAGAACATGCACACCACGACAGATAAGAACCCACCGCACAGGGAATCCAGGATAGATAAACCCCTCAGGGCCAACAATGAGAGTACAGATACCAGGAGGATTAGAGGAAGGTGGGGGGAGAAAGGGGGAATCGATCACAAGGATCAATATATAACCCCCTCCCAGGGGGACCTACAACAAAAAGTGGGTGAAGGGTGACAGAGGATGGTGTAAGATATGAAAATAATAATCTATAAATCAAGGGTTCATGAGGAAGGGGGGGAAGGTGGGGGAAATGAGCTGATATCAAGGGCTCAAGTAGAAAGAAAATGCTTTGAAAATGTATGGCAGCATATGTACAAATGTGCTTTACACAATGGATGAATGTATGGATTGTGATAAGAGATGTAAGAGCCCCCAATAAAAGTATTTAATAATAATAATAAAATAAGCCAAGAATTGATTTAAATAGTTAGCTCTATAGAAAAATACAAATGGTCAGAAGCACATGCAGACATACCTATTATCATTAATCATTTAGAAAATGAAAACTCAAACCACAATGAGATACCATTTCACACCACTAAGATGCTTAGAATTTTTTGTTATTGTAAAAATATGTATGTATAACACAGTATTTACCAATTCAACACTCTTCAGGTGTTTAGTGACATCAATTACATGAATCATGTTGCGTAATCATCACACATACCCATTGCCAAATTTTCTGTCATCATAAACAGATATTCATACTTCTTAAAAAGTAATCTTTCAGCCACTCTGCCTACAGCAACCACTAATAAACTATAGCCTATATGCATTGGCTAGTCTTGTTACTTCAGATAAGTGAGACCATACAATATTTGTCTTAGTGTATCTGGTGTAATTCACTCAGCATAATTCAAGGTTCATCCATTTTGTATCATGTTTCGAGACTACTCTATAGCTATGATTAAAAATAAAAACATAATAAGTGTTGGCAAAGATGTGGAAAAATTGGAACCCTCTTACATTGGTGCATGTAAATTGATGCCACCGCTGTGTAAAAAAATCTGGAAGTTCCTCAAAGAATTAGCCAGGGACACCACCCCCCCCACCCCCAATGCTGCTCCTCAGTATCCATCAAAAGCAAAACCTTCCAATGCAGAGTGACCATCAGGGACCCAGGAGAACTGCCTAATCTGCCATCGCTTCTCCCCAGAAGGACTGGGGCTTCACACTGCCAGCCCTGTGGATAGCAGCTGAGCACTTAACCACTGCACCATCAGGCTCTGCAAGTGTCCCTTCAAAATCAGAGCGTAAATGTTTATAGCCGCATTGCCCATAAGAGCCCAAAAGTGAAAACAGCTGGAAATATCTGTCAGATGAATTGATTTTTAAAATTTGATATATAGTTTTTTTAATTTGATGTATTTTATACCATAGGCTCCCAAACTTATTTGGCCTACCACCTCCTTAAAAAACAAAAAATTACTCAGTGCCCTTTGGCAATTTAAAATTGTTTACTATAGCCCATAATCTAGAATAAGGTGTAGGGGTCTGCTTTTTCAGCTGCCACGCTCCCCCCCCCCCCCACCTCCAGGGCATGGTATCACCCACTTTAGGAACACTGATCTATACAGTGGAATAGCACTCAGCCATAAACAGAAATGAAGTCCTGATAACTGGTACAGTGGGGAACATTGAACTGTTACTCTAAGTAAAAGAAGTTGAGCACGTAACACTACACATTGTATGGTTCTTTTTATGTGAAGTGCCTATAATTGGGTAAATCTGTAGATGCAGAAAGTATATTAATAGTTGCCAGGGATGGGGCAAGGGGGCAGAAAATGACGAATGGTTGTTAATGGGACAGAGTGATATTTTTGGTGATGATAGCAATTTTCTGAAATTAGATAGTGGTAGTGAATGGACAACTTTGTAAATATGGTTGTATTTAAACCCACTGGATTATATACTTCAAACAGATTACTATTCTGGTATATGAATTCTATCTTGATTTTTAAAAAGAATTTTGTTACTCCTTTTGAATCATGTTAGCACCTGGATATTTGTCCGATTTCTGCACTAAGGTGGTCATAATGGGATGATTAAAATCCCGCAAAGAGACCCCTTTCTTCTGTGTGCTCACAGAACCTCAGGGAACCCCGGCGCTAGGGAAATGGACCATGTCGTTCGTCTCTGACGACATGGCATCGTGGAACCTCCTCACAGCCTCGTCTGCGTAATCTTAATGATGACGTCTGCTGTGTTCCTCACAGGAGTACTTCTAGCAAAAGAGTTTTAAAGTGCCTTTTAAAGGATGGTAGAAATATAGTGTCATTGTCATGTTTCTTACTGCATGTAAAGCCCTCAATGATATTTTGTATTATCCTGATTTGCTTTGCTTTCCCAAAGGAATCTCTCTGAAGCCCTTCAGATCTGCAACCACCCTCTGCGTTCCAGATCCCGTCTTCAATAGTGAGCACCACCACTCCCTGCTCCTGCCAACCGACGTCCCAGTGCAGCGGCTCCTGCTCAGTGCCTTCTCCGCACGCGGGCTCGTGCCTGGAGGTGGAGTCCAGTTTGAAGTCTGGTGCAGGTATTACAGTACAGAGAACCCAGGCCTGTGTCCCAGAGGCAGTGCACAGTCATAGAGCCTCCTCTCCCGAACCAGCTTCGGCTGAACTATTAAAAGGAAACTTAAGGTAGTCCCTTTGGCTCTGTTTTATATTATTTGGGTTTGACAGTGACGCTTGTCCAGATGCTTCTGAAATCTGTTCAATCATTGGGCCATAGTGAAAACTATCGTCTACATTTCTCACTAACTTTCGGAAGTGAAATCGCCTCATTTTACCATCTCGTGTCTCTTGAAACATCGCAATCTTTTCTCTGCTTTTCTTACTGCCTCATTTAGTCCAGGCTCTCATAACAGGGATTGCTTTTTAACTAGTCTTCTTGCTTCTCGGCTCATTTCTTTTCCTCTGTTCTGCCCACTGCCAGAAGAATAACCCATGTAAAATATAAATCTATCCTTGTCTTAGAAGATTTCCAGGAAACATAATTGCGTGAATAAAGATATTCAGCTTACCTATTGGTAGCCACCCCTAAGAAACCTACTAATGAGATTTAAAATTATTAATATGAAAGGATGGGTAAAAGCATCAGGGGGTATTCTCTGATGCATTCTCATAAGGATTCTTATTCTCAAAAGCATTCTCATAAGGAGCCCTGGTGGGAGAGTGGATTACATTGGGCTGCCAACCGCAAAGTCTGCAGTTCAGAACCACCAGCTGCTCCGTGGGAGAATGATGAGGGTGTCTTCTCCCGCACAGATGTAGTCATGGAAACCCTAGAGAGCATCTCTACGCTGCCCTGTAAGGTCAATATGAGTTGGCAGTAGGTTTGGTTTTCCTACTGCCAGAAACTTCTAAATACAATTTGAGAAAAACAGGTTTAAAGAGATCACCTATATTTGATTTACAACTCTGTGATCCAATAATGGAAGGTTTTACTTGAGGGGAAAAAAGAGAGATACTTGGGAATCCTTATTACCCCTCCAAATTCAATGAGACTTGACCTAAACATGGTTGAGCCTTGGGAAGGATTTCCGCTAGTTTACTTACAACCACTTTTATTGCTACAGAAAAGAAAGAACCTCTTAGGAGTGCTTACAACCAGAGATCCAGATCTGATTCAGATACCTCAGTTAGAAAGGCTCTGGGAAATGGGGCTTTGTCCTGAACACATAATTTGTGAGGTTCCTCTTGCACAGAACCAAAAACCCACTGCCATCAAGTTGATACTGCCTCATAGCAACCTTATAAGACAGGGTAGCACTGCCCCTGGGGGTTTGTTTCCAAGACCGTCACTGCGGGAGTAGAAAACCCTGTCTCCCTCCTGCAGAGAGACGAGCGGTTTCCCTCTGCCAGACTTTGCACATTGCAGCCCAGTGTGAAACCACTACACCACCAAGGTTCCCTCCTCCACATATTGGGCAGTAAATCCAGCCAGACAAGACCCCAGCTACATCACACTAGTCGGGGCCCCAAAGATAACTAGATATTGAAAAGCTGATCCTTGGGGCAGAGTGACTCATCCATCCACCTAAATCTTTCAACTGACCGTTTGTATTTACAGATATTATTATCCTAATGTGAGAGACCAGATGGTCGCTAAAGGAACCTTGCCACTCTCAAGGATCTGTGCCATGATAACCATGCAGCACCGTGAAGATGCAGGAATGCAGACCTTTAATCTCCCTTTAACCCCCAGGCTTGAGAACAGGGAAGATGTGAAGAACCAATCATCAGGTAGTTGGAGCCATATTTGTCTTTCCCTTTCAAAGTCAGTGTACATAAATAGTCCTTTCCCTCCAAATTAGTGACTTTTAATGAAGAAAGGGTACAACAAGCACTAAAATCCTGAACATGACACAGGCCAAGTCAGTTTTATTCTATTGTACATGAGATCACCACGAACGAGTTGGACCATCCCCAGCTGACAACCACCTTTTGTGAATCTGATGGAAACTATCCGACACCCTCTCTTTAGAAAAATGAGTATAGAATATACCTTGCAAATACCACCCGTAATTTTAGAAAATTCATAATTCCATGGATCTCTGTTGATTTCACCTTTAACATCAGGTATACTCAGAGAAATACTATTCCAAGGTAACATGAGCTGATGTGTAGAGGGACTTCAAAAAGTTCATGGAAAAAAGGGACTAAAAGAACAGAATTCTTCCACAAACTTTATGAAGCTGCTTCGTAGTTAGCATGAGCTAAGAACTCCATGTGGGTGGGGGGGGGGGAGAGGAGAAAGTAGGGGTTTTAAGCCATAGTATATACGTACTGATGTTTCCAACAGAGTGACCTCCCCTCCAAATAGATCATCAGATTAGGATTAGCCTCCTAAATCCAGTAACTGCGTGTTTGCTGGACTATCTGCCAAAACAAAACAATCTTACCTTTGCAAGATTAAGATGGAACTGACCCTCACTGATCAGCCTGTTCGGTGTTTCCTTTTAACCTCCTTCTTTAGGCTTGCTGGATGTGGGCCTCCGATACAGGCGTACTCCACGGACAGCAGAGGGAGCTCTTGCTGCCCGAACTGTTTCCATCTCAGTCCACATCATCAGAGCCTGTGGTCTGCAAGCAGCAGCCAAGTAAGTCAGCTTCAGAAAAGCCATTCTCAAACTTTTTCCCGTGTAGCCCATATGATAATCAGATACCGAAAAACCTTACATGTACAATTCTGTTTACTAATCACAACCCTCCTCCTTTCTTTTTCTGTTAAGAAAGCATTTCATAATACAAGTTAGTAAATCACTTGCAAGTTTTCCTATATTAGCTATTCTTGGTAATGTTGTCCCCTGACCTTCTCCAACAATCTTATCCTCTAGCCTACTTGACCCTTTACTCCTGTGGTCATATATATGACCTTAAGCCATGCCATAGCAGTCACTGCATCTCCTCTGTAAAACTGTTAAGCATTTCAGTCTCTCGAGTATAGCCTTCTAGCTTTCCAGCATGTCCCTCTTAGTCTGTTCTAAAAACATTAGCCAGCCATCCTGCTAAAATGTAAGGCAGTGTGTTAGCTCCGGTTGACTAGAGAAACAAATCCAGGGACATTCATATATGTGTAAGAGAGAACTTTATATCAAGAAGTAATTATGTATCAATAAAGCATCCCAGCCCAGTCCAGATCAAGTCCATAAATCTGATATTAGCCCATGAATTCCTCTTCAAACTCATGCAGCACATGCAATGATGCAAAATGCAGGAAGATCACAGGCCAGTGGGTGCAATGTCTTGTGGATCTAGTGGCAGTGGAAGCATCTCAGAGCTGCCACTGGTCTCTGAGTGGTTTCTCAGCAGCAAAGCGAAGCAGAGGGAGGAAGTTCCCAGAATCCTCATGAGAAGGCCATACCCACAAGGAGGCATCATCAGTCTGTGACCTGATAGGCTGGCCTCCACCCTTCTATTCTCAAGTTGACACAAGTTTATGTAACTGCCACAATCATGTTGACCTGCTTCTGCATAAAACCCACCATCGACTTACCATGTCATTCAAAGCAAAATCCAGTGGCTATAAGACCCTTCATGCTCTGACCTTCTGGTATTTCTGCTCCTCTTCCTGCTTATCCACTCTAGCCTCTGGCCTTCCTGTTGATTCTGAGCACACCGAGGTCTTTGTCCTGCAAGACTTGGTTTCTGTAGAGAAACATGATCTCATTCTGTGTGCACACTCAAAAAAACCACATGACTATTCTTTAGCATGTCAATTAAAGGTGTGTAGGTTCTGTCCTATCATGGTCCTCTGTACTAAGAAAGAAAAGCATCCCCTGCCATCTGGAGCTGGTCTCACAGCTAGACTTTGGTGTTTTCCTGTAGAACATAAAAACACTATTTCAAACACCCGCTTCGGCCAAGGCCACTCTGTGTCCATGAGGAATTGAGGCCAAAAACAAGACGAAGCACAAACAAAATACCAAAAAGCCAAAGATTCCCCTATCTTAACTTTCAAAACGTGACTGCTGCATCTTAACCGATTATAGCATTAGCCGTACTCTTATCTTCCCTTGGGGGCCCTGGTGGCATAGTGGTTACACCTTGGGCTATCATCCGCAAGGTCAGCAGTTTGAAACCATAGCCGCTCCACAGGGGCAGATGGAGCTTTCTACTCCTGTAAACAGTTACAGTCTCAGAGATTCACAGGGTCGCCCTGCCCTGTCCTGTAGGGTCACTCTAAGTCAGCAGCAACGCAATGGCAGTCAGGGAGCATCTTCCCTTCCTCTAGATAAGATTGAATAAGTGAGGTGTCACATGAGCCCAGCCTTGTAAGTCCTTCTGACACCTCTGATTAAGACACCCCATCATGCCCCATTGGGTCTGTTCTCCATTAATGTACATTCAGCTGCAGTTGAGTCGTCGTGGTCTCCAGCTGATGGCCTTGAGCTCTACAGTGGAGTGTCCTCCTGTCCTCAGAGTGGGCAGATGGGGGGTGTTTCTTATAACCTTCATTCTGGTTTACTAAGAAATCACATGTGGCTCCTCCATAAGGCCAGGCAGGAAGCGCGTGGCTGGCCTTTCTTCTTGGTCGCCTCAGAAGTAGTGGAGATGTGTTCCAGATAGGCAAGCTGATTTTTGATGTTGCCAGGGCTCCTCATTCCCACCCATCTTCCCTGCAGGGCTTTGGCCGAGAAGGAGCCCAGTCTCCAGTTCAGTGCTACATTTGGAGTCAACACCTTTGTCACCACTCACCTCTCCTTCCTGCCCAAAGGAGAGCAGCGTCAAACCCGCCCTGTGGCCTGTTCCTTCTGCCCTGAATTCTCCCATCACATCGAGTTCTCCTGTAACGTGGTAACTCAGCACTGCAGTGGAGAGGCCTGTTTCCTGGCAGAGCTGTTGGAGTTTGCAGAAATTACTTTTGCTCTTTATCATGAAGATACCAAGTCAGGTGAGCACTGAAGGACTGTGACCATGAGGATTAAGAAGGGCTCTGTCTTGCATGACACAGCCTTAGTGCTTGGTTGCTGGAGATGCATGGTGAACAAGAAACTGATCCAGGCCCCATGGGGCCTACTGAAGGAGGCAGCTTGATCTAGGATAACGAGTGTAGACATACGGTTTAGGGACCACATAGGAAGAGCATCCAACTGAATTTTAGAAGGTCAGCAAAGTCCCAGACTAGAAGTGAAACTCAGCTTCTGGTGCCAACTTGGTGGCCTTTCAAGAATTTTTTTTTTTTTTAACTTGGAAAACTCTGGGAGATAGCAAAATACTTTTGGAAGTATTCTTCTTTAAAGAAGTGAAGGTGTTTATTAAAAAACAATTTTTAAACTGTCATATGCCAGATAGTCTAGAGGGAAAAGAAGGCATTCTCTTTAGGAGAAGCATAAAAAAACCAAAACCAGTTGCCGTCAAATTGACTGAGACTCCTGGCAGCCCCATGTGTGACAGCATCACTCTGCTTCCAAGGCTGTTTTGTTTTCTTACCTAGCCTGCCAGGCCTTTGTTTTGAGAGATGTCCGGGTAGGCGCCAAGCTTCTGCCGTTCAGATAGCAGCTGAGCACATTAACCATTTGCCATAGGAAGTTGTTCTGAGAGTCAAGAGCCCTGGTGGCTGGCGTAGTGGTTATGCGTTGGCTGGTGGTTAGGTCAAAAAGCACCAGCCGCTCCACAAGAGAAAGCCAGGGCTTGCTATCCCGTGACCAGGTACAGCCTCAGAAACCACGGGGTCGCTTCTCCCCTGTCCTACCGGGTCACTCTGAGTTGGCATCGACTCCGTGGCAGTGAGTTGGGTTTGGTTTGACAGAAAGGAGAAACTGGGTTTTGGTACTAATGTAAAATTATCTGTACTTGTGGTTCTGTTGAAAAGCAGGGAGGATAGAATAAGCAGCCTTTCAAGAACTTGCCGAGCCAGGGGTTCTTTATTGATAGCTAGACAATTTTTATCATGAACATTTTCTTTGATTCCTAATTGTAGCCTATACCCAGACTTTAAAAACTGTTTATGTTTTTATATCAAATGTTTGGAAAATACAAAAAGCATATTACATTACTCTTAATTCATGTGGCCTCCCCTACTCAGTTCTCCTTAAACCAAACTGAACTTTCCACCTAACGTGTGACCATCGGGATAAGTATTGAGCAGGGCTTGTCATAAGAACTAGTTTTTCTTAGACTAGGGCTACAAGTAAGTGCACGCTCAAAACCCATTCATTTATCTGTGACTTAAATATGTCCGTGGTGGCTCATCATAAAGACATCCTTATTATTTTGTTGAAAGACGCTATACATTATCCCCGTGGGGCATATAGTAGTTCTATTGGTATTACCATTAATCTAGCTGGTGGTATAAAATTTAAAACTCTTGAGAAAAAAGGAAGTATACATATATGAGATAATTTTTTAGACCAAAATACATGGATTGTTGATTTGTACAGAAAATAATTTAGGTGACTGGACAGTATTTCCACTAACAATGAGGGTTAGAGAGAGGCCAAAACTTTAATGATGCTTATTCACAAAGGCGAAACCTGGGCTATAATGTCGTAAATAGGCGGTGAGTATCGAAATACCACGTCTCTGGTAGGTAGTCTTGAGCTGTCATTTATTGAGCACCTTCAAGGTAAGAATTCTGGACCAACGTCCAGTGACTTCCACATCCGTATCTTTGGGATAGAAGTCATCTGCTTCCCTCACTGAGGCATTTCAGCCTTACTCTCGTGGGAGCTTGTCCATTCCTTTAATCTGATAGCAATGTGCTTAAGGTAGCGTTCAGTTAAATTATTGGGAGTCCCAGGACAGATAGGACCCCTACCCCATCGCCTCTTGACTTGGGTTTCCAGCAAGGTTTACTGATCATTCTTGTAGAGGTGACCATGAAATATGGCAGGAACTGATTGGTCCTTATCCCTCTCTCCCCGTCATGGGAAACTCACCTGGTTGAGTTGAGGCCTCCCTTGTTGAAGTGGTTTTTAAGATGTACAAATAAAGGAGTGGAATAGTCCATGAGCTCTAGTGAGGCAAACTCCCTCATTGCCTGGGAAACTGGACTAGAAGATTAGAAGACTTGAGAACAGAAGCCGCCTTTGTCTTAGTGTTTATTTTATAGTAGTCGTCTCAGACAATATTTATTCTTTTGAGATTTGCTAAGTTGTTTCTTATGGAGATGACAGAGACATGTACATACACACAGATAAAGCCAATGTGTCAAGATGTTAATGAGTGAATTCAAGGGAAGAGAATATAGAAGTGTACTATAATAGTCTTAAAATTTTTTCAAAGTCTGACAGTTTTCAAAATAAAATGTTTAATTTTTTAAAATGACAGAGGGGATTCAAACTCTTGACTAAGCTATAAACAAGATGTCCCCTATCATCCAAACTGAGACTCAGTAAGTATCAGTAGAGGAGTGTATGGATATACTGTAGACACCGCTCTTAGTCAACAGCCCGGTTCTCTCTCTTGTTTGATTTAACAGCCAGTGATATAACCAGTCTCCACACATCCAAAGAGTATCTGCTTGGAGTAGTGAAGATTCCAACCAAAGAGCTCCTGGTCAAGAGGTCTGGTAAGGATTCTGGGTGATCGCTTCCTAGTCTTACTCTTTCCCATTCACTTCCACACAAGAGGGTATCTCTTGCTGGATCACCTTCGTAAGATAAACAAAAGTAATATGAGCCCTAAACAGAAGCTTCTCAATTCCCTCACATACTCAAAAGGTTTTCTTCACATTTTACATCCTCTCCTAAGCATTCTCAAGGTCATCTAATAGAGCGAAGAAGCTCAAAATATTACACTGTTATCTTCATCTTGGAAAGATGATGATGATGATATAATAATGAATATGGTGATACCCATTATATTGTGTAGCACTTGGTAAAACATTTGTTTGTGCTCTATGATAACCCTGCCTGGCAAACATACAGGATCGTATCATTTTTATTTGGCAGATGAAAAATTTAGGTGCAGAGAAGTTAAGTGATTTACAAAAATTATGCAGCTGGTAACTGCCAGGACTAGAAATTAAATCAGGATTTGCCCATATTACATTCTTCTTGCTAACTAGAGAAAAAGCAAGGATATGAAGTAATGCCCCAGAAGAATGAAACTACCAGGGAGGCAAGATGAGCTGTAACAAAAGCTGAGAGATGAGAGACTCAGGGCTCTCCCAGAATGACGCGCTAGTTTCATGGCAGGCCAAAGGAAAACTCGGCTTCCATCTCCTAGCCTTTGCTCTGTCTACCAAGGTCACTGCCTTTCAGATGAAGCACAAACTCACTGTGCATCTGTGCTTACATTCAGCTTCTACCCCCAAGGTGATGGCTCTGGGGTGAAGAGTGGTTAAGTCTGTTTTGTTTTGTGTTGTCTTGTATTTTGCTTGTAAGACGATAATTGAAAATCTTTCTTTTCTCCCACAAGGGATCTCAGGGTGGTATCCTGTCATATCTCCAGTAGATGGCATCCTGCCTCACAACCTGGAGCTTATGCAGAAGATGGTGGGTGGCCTGGAGCTTTCCGTTTCCTTCACCCATCCTGGAGACCGGGAGCGGGTGCTGGAAGCTGCTGAGCTGTTGGGCTGGAACTTTGACAATAACCTGAAGGATCTTGTCAATATGGACCAAGAGGAGCCAGCCACCGTCACCATCTCCACTCCCAGGCTCTGGCTGCCCATGCATTGTGTGCTGCTTGCCGGCCAGAAGCACCTCCACAGGAGTACTTACTGCTACCTGCGCTACAAGCTGTATGACCACAAAGGCTTTTGGACTCCTCTCAAGAAGCCTAAGGAATCTGCAACCAAAGACCAGGTCATGGTTACTTTCAAAGCATTCAAAAGAGCGGAGGTCAGCAGGGGCCCGTCCCTGCTTTGGTACTTCAGGGAAGAGAGGTTCGAGATCCAGGTGTGGCGGGCTTATGGCAATGATAGTGTGGAGCGGCCCCACCAGACTGACACCTGGATTGGCTCAGCCTACGTGGACCTGACCAGACTCGGGGAGAGGTCAGCGAGAACACTAACTGTCAGTGGTAAGTGAGGAGCCAGGCTCAGCTCATGTGACTGGAGCACCTGTTCTGTGTCAAACGTGATAACCCATCCCAGCCACTATTGTGCATAATCCTCCCAGTGCTCCTGTTCTACAAAACAAACCCATTGCTGTTGGGTCAGTTACAACTCGTGGCAAACCCTAGTGTTGAAGAGAACTGCTCCATAAATTTGTCTTCGCTATTATTTATATAGAATCATATCACCAGGCCTTTCTTCCTCAGCACCTCTGGTTGGGTTGGAACCATTAACCTTGATGTTAGTAACCAAGTGCAGAATCTTTGTAATGACCAGGAACCTTAGACCCATTTACAGCCATGGAATGGGAGCTCAGACAAGTTGGATAACCTGCCCAAGCTCACAAGCTAGTAAATGTTCTTCCATTATTTCATAATGAAAGTTTCATCATAATTTAGGAGTGTTTTGTTTAACTTGAAATTTCAAAAAGAAGACCATAACTGGCTGCTTTGAAAAGGGCCTTACAGGGTAGCAGTCCCTTGACAGGGTCGCTGGGACTCTGAGAACAGCCTCCGACCTTTGCCGTTGCAGAGTGCGTCCACCAGTCAGCAGCGCTCCGCACATCATGTAGGGCCTAGGCCAGGGGTCCTGAAACTGCCAGGTCACTGTCCCTCAGACCCGTTGGAGGGCCGGACTATAGTTTAAAAAAAAACACCTGTGAACAAATTCCTATGCACACTGCACATTTCTTATTTTGAAGTAAAAAGACAACGGGGCAAAAACACCCGGCGGGCTGGATAAATGTCCTCGGTGGGCCGCATGTGGCCCGCAAGCCGTAATTTGAGGACGCCTGGCCTAGAACCTTGTAAGAACTCAGCGAATGTGTTGAAAATAAAAATGTGTGCCTTTAGGGAACTACTTTGAATCAGATGTCTAAGAACCCGTCATACCATCTAGAAGGCTAGTCTTTTCATGACACCGACCAGGCTGTCCCTCCTGTCTGTTCAGCATGTCCTGGAGCTCTAAAGAATTGACCCAAAGAAAAGGAAAAAGCTAACATTTTGTGAGGGCCAGTATGTGCCGGATGCCTTTCTTATTAATTATTTGTTGATTTATGTACTTGATCCTGATACTTCAGAGATGAATATAAAATAGTTCCCGATTTCAGTGAGTTTACAGTCGACTGGGAAAATAGAGTAATAAATCAATCATGAGAGTGAAGCATGAGAACTATGTAATGGTTATTTCTGGTGGGGCCTGGAAGTACAGGGATGGGACCCCTCTTTATTTCAAAGGAGCCATCTCAGTGGGGTCACACTTCACCCGAGTTTCAAAGACATAAGAGAAGGGGAAAGGGAAGTATTTGAAACAGAAGCACAACATGAGTGGAGGCACAGAGACATGAAGCAGGTGGTTAGTACATGTTAGGTGTGATAAGGAATCTGGATTGGCTCGGTGAGAGAGGATGCATGAGGGGGAGGGGAGATGATGTTAAGCAGGCCGAAAGAGTACTATATATTACGGATCTGCAAAGCAGACGAGTCAGGATTTGTTTCTGGAGAAGGAATTAGAGGTGGCCAGACTGAATTCCTCACTCACATGATCACTAATGTCAACAATCCTATAATGTAGTTAGCTATTCTTTCTTCCGCTTGAGCAAAATGAGTCACACACCATATTTCAGCCCTGGTAACTTTGTGCTGGGCAGGTATGCGTAAGAGGAGGATTGAATGTGTCTGCCTAATCTTTTCCAAATTCTCTGGCTCTCTCTAGACTCAGCAAGTATAAGTCCGGCTCCATGGAGCCAAATTCTATATGCCTTATTTTATCTGGGCTGGTCTAAGGTTACCTCAGAGACTGCAGACAAGATTGTTTTTGCTCACTTGGCTTTTAACCTTACTTTGCTGAAGGAAATAGGTGTAGGATACTGGCTATAGGTTCAAGGATCAGAACTCAAGCATTTACGGAATGACATCAGAAGTAGTTAACTTTTTAAGTCCTCTATTTCTCCCATACTTCACATCACACTAATGCAGTGGTTCCCAACCTTCTTAATGCCGCAACCCTTTTACACAATTCCTCATGTGGTGGTGACCCCCAACCATAAAATTATTTCGTTGCTACTTCATAACTATAATTTTGTTACTGTTGTATTAGTCTGGGTACTTTAGAGAAACAAATCCACAGAAACTCATGTATAAGAGAGAGTTTTATATAAAGGTCAAGTGCACATCAAGAAAACATCCCAACCCAGTGTGGCCCAAGCCCACAAGTCCAACATAAACCCATTAACCCATATGGTCCAACACCAATCCACAAAGTCCTCCTCCATCTCACAAAACAGACACAATGATGCCGACTGCAGAAGGAAAGCCGAGTCAGTGAATGTGTAAGCATCTCAGCACTGGCAGGGGTCTCCACACCTGTGCTCCAGCACCCAGGGTTGCATCGGGGTAGGTCCATGTGGCTTCTCCTTAGAGATGTCTTGCAGAAAGTGAGCCTTGTCAGTTGAAGCAGGGGACTAGCTAAGGCACCTGCACCCTGGTCCGACCATCAGAAAGCAAGAGACCCGAGAACTCTAAAGGCGAGGCTCACTGAGCCATTTATCTCTCCACCCTTCAATTAGCCCCACATGGGTTTATCGGCCAGCTTGGCACAATAAACTAACTCGACTGTTAGGAATCCTAAAGCAAATCGTAATGTGTTTTCCGATGAGGTCGTGCCCCCCAGGTTGAGAACCACTGCACTAATGTAAACTTTTTATCCTGACGGTCTTATTTGTACTAGGCATGGCATTTGATTGTTGTTTGTTGAATGGGTGAACCATTCCCTCTAATTGCCCATCTTATCTGTTAAGGATTACATTTTGCCCCTCAAAAATGTTATAATTCCTTTTATGCCTGTGATTATAACTTCATTTGGGAATGAGTTGTTTGGTTATGTTAATGGTGCACGATCGGCATGAATGTGTCTTGAGTCTATCTTTTTTGAAATATCCAAAAAACAAATTCACTGCCATCAAGTTAATGCCAACTCATAGCAGCCCTAACAACAGGGTAGAACTGCCCCTGTGAGTTTCCGAGGCAGTAACTCTTTACAGGAGGAGAAAGTCCCATATTTCTCATGAGCACCGGGTGGCTTCAAACTGCTGACCTTGCAGTTAGCAGCCCAACACATGCCACTGTACCACCAGCACTCTTTTTGGAGCTATAAGAGAGAATAAATAAGCAAGCTGAGCTAGCAGAGATGGGGAAAGAGGCTTCCAAGCCACAAGAAGACTGCCCAGGAGCAAAAGCTCAGAAGAGACAAGGGCCTTCCCCCAGAGCCAGCAGAGAGAGGACTTTCTCGTAGAGCTAGCTGCCATGGCTCAAACTTCTAGCATCCTAAACTGTGAGCAAATTTCTTTCTGTATGTCAGAGCCACACCCCACCCGCCCTTGTCGTGTTTCTGACACAGCAGCACAAGATGGCCAAGACATCATCCTTCCATGTCGTTTCTTGAGATGAATTTAATGTGTTGCTTTGGGCTTTTCTCCTATCCATGACTCGCCCTTGCTTTCTACTTGTGAGGGTTTTAATAAATTAGACACATTTCATTTTGAAGAAAACAGGCCATTTGAAAATAGAAGATGGGAAAAATTAGATACTATCATTCGTGAATCAACTATTTCCAGCTTCCTCGATTGAAATGAAGCCTGTCTTTTCTAGGAAGCATACTTTGACATTCTGAAGAACTGTTAGTTCCCTCTGCTCTATAAGTTAAATCCCATTTTAATTTCCAGCAAACCAGTAAGTTGCAAATTCATGACTTTAACTCTGCTACTTACTGGGAGAGTGATCTTGGACTGTTTAGTTAAACCCCTCTGGATTCCGGTGATAATAAAGACTCACAAATTTGAATT